GCTTTGATTTCAAATACATATATTTTTATATATGCATGCATATATGTAAGTGCATATCATGAAAATTAAAGTCATTATTGATCCATTGATTTCTTGGTAGAAGATAAGATCAGTAATTTTGTGTTCTGACTATGTTATTGCCGTCATCACTGGAAATACAAAATTGTTTTCAGAAAAATACATCTGCCACGCATATATGCCTGTAATTCTCTGAGAATAATTAATGATATACAGATATACAGGAATATATTGATTATATATGTGTGCACCAAAGTGCATTAGTATACAGAGCTCTCACTCTCATTAATATATATGATAAAAATAGAGTTTTAAGGTATGCTATTATATTTATGGGTAAAAGTGCTCAATATCAGAGATATGTAAAGTGGACACTGAGGATGCAACAGTTTGTTTCATGAAGATGAAAACTTGGGACAAGTAGTACCTCAAAATAACATCAGACTGTGTAATATAAATTATTAATACTATTGTTTGACTAGATAAATTGATTACCTAACTTTTATATATATATATATATATATATATATATATATATATAAGCTGATATGTATGCAGTGTAGAGTGGAGTGGTCATCCACAGAGAAAGTAGGATCAGCAAACTGAATTTAAATTTTGATTACGTTCACATACACACACACATATATATATGAAGAAATATAGTTTTAAGGTGTGCTATATTTATGGGATAAAGTGCTCAATATCAGAGATAGAGCGTGTGTAAATATAAATATAAAAGTGAACACGGTAAAAACACCAAATAATGAAGAAAAAGTATACCTGGGAGTAACTGAAGGACCCTGGAAACAAAGAAACTATGCACACAAAACATCTTTCACAAATAGTAAATATGCGAACACCACAATGCTTTCCGTGTGTATCTGGGAAATTAAAAACAAAACACAAATCACACCAAAAATATCATGGAAAATAAGGAAAGATCATCAGCCTACAACAATCAATCAAAAACCTGCAAACTTTGCTTGAAGGAAAAAATCCAAGGCCAAAATAAATTACTAAATAAACGATCTGAGCTCATCTGAAAATGCAGACATGAAAACAAATTTTTGCTACGTTACTTAAAAATCAAATACTGAAATGAATAAATACAAATAAATAGAATAATATAAAAAACAAGTAAAATAAATTAACCCAAACAAATAATAAACAAATTAAAAAACCACTCTTGTTAGAATAGATGAAATAGAATAAATAAAAATAAAATACATAAAAAACAAGTAAAAATAATCAACCCAAATAAATAAATAAAGTAAATAATTAACAACAAACCAATCCTGCCAAAATAACCATTAGAATAGACTACAACAACTAATCCAAAAATTGGATGTAAAAATACCTATAACTACTATATAACAACAAAAAACATTTATACATTACTCTTTTCAGTTTTGTTGGTTTAATTTGAGACTGTATAAGAGCTTGAGGTTTTGGCAAGTTGTCCATTGGTTCCACCAATGTTTTTGTTTCTCTTTAATATATATATATATATATATATATATATATATATATAGGTAACTATACTTGTTTCAAAAAACCTTCAAATTTTTGGTTTTATATATATATATATATATATATATATATATATATATATAGTTAAGTTATGAAGAACTTGGTAAACTGTATGGGTAATTCCAAGGAGGATGAAATCCTGAGAGCTCAATGTAAATCCAGAGCTAATATTTAATGAAAAACAAACCACTTTAAGGTACCATTACAATAATTTATTTCACCAAAATCCTTTTAAAGGACTCCGGATCATCAGGTAACACTTCCAAGAACGAAATGAAAGCGAAAAACCGTTTGTTTCATTTCGTTGTTGGAAATTGATGATCCGGAGTCCTTAAAAGGATTTTGGTGAAATAAATTATTGTAATGGTACTCTTAAAGTGGTTTGTTTTTCATTAAATATATATATATATATATATATATATATATATATATATATATATATATATATATATATATATTAGTCAAATGAATGACAAAGTGTAAAATATTCTGTTACATTTTCATCATCTAGAAGGACTTCATTGGACAAAATAATGTTTTTGTTGAAGAAATTATATATATTTAGGAGGAGGAGATATAAAACTGTGTCCAGAAGTTATAATTATGTATTGAGTAGGAACGCTGAAATTTTTAATTTTTACATTTTTTTTTTTTTTTTTTTTGGTGGCATGTCTGAACATGTAATCTATCTGATGATTTTTGTTTCTCTGTGCTGTTGTTTTTTATCACTTTTTATTAAGTATCCCACAATGTGATAACAGAAGAACTGACAAGAAACCTGAAATATTTTAAAGAATCTAAACCCATGAAAAGTGGGGGGGGGGAATACGGAGAGAAGATGTGGATTCATATCTTTCCTAAGGGTATCTGTGCAAAAGTGAATGTAAAGAACTTAACTGGAATTGGAACACAATTCCAAAACATTGTCCATTACACCACCCAAACATCCAAGCTTACATCACCTGGTATTCTTAAGTGGTCACCCATCTAGGTACTGATCAGGCTCGACATTACTTAACCAGAGATCTGACGAGAACCAGTATTTTAACATAGGCCAATAAGCTCTATACTATGCTGCCTTGTTGAATGCCAGGAAACATTCAATTTCCATTTTTGTTCATAAATTTTATTCTTCTAAATATAAAGTACAATAATATTTTTTTCAATTATATATACACCATTATTTGCAGTGACATGTTGCCATGTATCAGGCAGCTCATTGATATTTTATTCATTAAAATTTAGCAGGTTTTGATGTGAAAATGTTTTCAAAGAATTCTTGAATCTAGTTTTCAATAGAGGAAAATTTCCCAACCAAAGTGTTTTGCACAAATTGAAAAGGTAAGGTGCAAGATCAGGTGAATATGGCAGGTGGAGTAGAACAGTCCAGTCAAATTATGTGATTTTTCCTGTTTTACTTTTGTTGTATATGACTTCACAATTTTTCGCTTAATCCAATGTAGATTCTGCCACTGCCATGTCAAATCTAAGGTATGTTTGTGTACACCAAATTTATTATCTGTTTATATTTCTGAGATGAGGTATTATGTACACTATTTACATTGTTCGGACTATCATACGCCATCTTTGTTGCCATATTTATCACAACGTTTCGGCCGTTGTACACTCTGGCCTTCTTCTGGTGGTTGGAATGTTGAACCGAACTCTTTATTTTGCTCACTGGGGTAGACTGTTCTAGTTCCACATGCCATGTCTAATGGATGTCAGTAATCAGTTATCTCCTGTTAATTCCTGTCTCCAAGTTCTCCACCGTCTTAATCAGATATTGAACTTACACTGTTTGGGTCCTGTCACTGGATCTAATTAATGCCTTTATCCACTGTGCCATGTATCCTTGAGGATGATAGTCTGAACAACGTAAACAGTGTCCAAATTTATTCTTAACTACTACATATGATTAGTAGTTAGGAGAATACATTTGTTATTACAACTGATTATCAAAAATGGAAATTACTTATGATTCAACCTGATATATTCCCTAAGAAAGGCCAAGTATGTCCTGTTATTGTGCTTTTATCCTATTTCTGCTTCAAACAATTCCTATAATAGTGGGAATTCTGAAGGAAAGATGCATTGCCTTTGTGTTCAGTTGATTACAAAAAGAAAGAAAATGATGAAACCACAGAATTTAGTCAGCCATGTTAGTATTTACCGGCCTCTCCATGATTGCAACATGTGGCACAAGATTGGTTCCTGGCATCCACCAAGCCATAGTCATTAGTGTAACAAGAAAGAAAATAGATATATAAATTTCATCCATTATTTAGTCACCTCTTCATAATGGCAGGTCAGTTTTAATGTGAGGTAGCCATACATGTACATATATGCCAAGAAGAATAATTGCTCAATCCCAACAACTAGTGATGTTGGTGTACATGTTCACCAACCTTCTTTAGTGCAATGAGAGAGGATTGGAATCCCTCAAACTTGGTTTCCTTTATAACCTCAAGAGGATGAGTGAACAGATATTACACTGTCATCAGAGCTCATAGCCTGGGAATATTTACTTGCCATCCCATAGTAACAAGATGTGACCTAAGGTCATTTTTAATGTGAAGTTGCATTCAGCCAATCCTAAAATAACCAGATCCCAAAAACCACTGTCATCAGTATTCCACTGACCCTCTTGTAATGTAATCAGGGACATGCTGTTGCACAGGTGGAATGCATGTGGCAAGGCTTCCCTCGTAACTTTAAAAGGAAGTGAGAACAGATACTACACTTGCATCACAGCCACACAAAATAGAAACAAATTTTTTTGTAAAGGTGGGTCAGAATTGTCTGATAATATTAATAATGCTGGCTAAAAAATAAATAAATGTACAAATAAACTAAAAATAAAACAATCAAACAAGAAATTTTTATACTGCCTTTATTTTATTAAAAGAATTGACATTTTCCTCACCTGTATTTACTTTTTCAATGAACAAAAAGTTTATAGCACACAACACAATTATTTTCAACTAGACATTGTTCAAAAGAAAATGAGCAATTTCAAAACAATACCAATATCAATCAACTTTTCAGTAATTATTGCATCTCTCCCTAACATCACCTCTTCATAATTTTTCTAGAAGTTGGGATAGATAGATAGATAGATAGATAGATATGAACAGAGATGATAGATAGATATAAAGAGACTGAGATAGATAGGTATAAAGAGTGAGATAGATAGATAGATAGATAGATAGATAGATAGATAGATAGATACTGAGATAGATATGAAGAGACTGAGTGTTATAACACACTTCATAATACTTATACTATAAGTAATGCTTTGGCAACATGCTGTGTGGTCGGTATTACTTAGTCTGAAGAAGGACTCCAAACAGTTTCTTTTCCTTACCTCTGACCTGGAGCTATTTATAGTTATGAAGTAGTTCATATATTCACTAGAAGTGTACTGTTTACTCCACAACATCCCCACTTTTGAGATTAATACTTTTTCTAAATATTTTATTTTTTATTCGTATTAGTATATCTCCCACCTCTTTCTGAAGAGTTTGCCAACGTACTTGACTTTGAGGAGTTTCTGTCTTGGATTCACTTCTAGTTCTTCAGTATATTTTCTTTTTCTGGAACTTATCCTTTTAGGTTACATGACTTGTTGTGGTACTAGCACACTGAAAACATCATATAGCATTTTTAGCCATTCTTCCAATGTTTCAGGTCTTTCATTAATGACCCTTTTTTTAAACAGATTATGGTACCTTTTATGTTTGAATCTTTTCCCTTTTACCATGTAAATTAACTTCCTTATTCTTGCTGATATTATGCCATCTTCCCACGTTTCTTTGCCATCCTTATATGCTCTAAAGAACACTTTATCACTGACCTTGAAACTTTTGGTATTGTTTTTATCTGTTCAAGTTTTTCGACTTGGTATGAAGAAGAGACTTAAGGCAACATAGATGTGGTTCTACAGAAGGATGCTATCATGGACTGAGCATGTGAGCAACAATGAGGTCTTAGAGAGGATGAAAACAAGGAAGAGGCTTATACATCAGGAAGAGGCAGCTGAAGTTTCTGGGACACATAATGAGGAAGGAGAGCCTGGAGAATCTGATACTCATGGGTCAAATAGAGGGAAAGAGAGACAAGGGAAACAACGTGTGACATATCTGGTGGGCTTAAGTAAGTGGATGACAGAACATGGTCTGGAGGAGGATGCAGAGGGAAGGAACTTATTGAGAGCTGCAAGGGATAGCGAGAGGTGGAGAGCCATGATCACCTACATCCTGAAAGGACATGGCACATAAAAAGAAAGAAAGAATAATTAGTCAAACACTGATTTTACTTTTCTAGCAAACATTAATTTTGCCAGCAACATGTCTGATGGCATATTGGGGTTAGATGTTATATGGTAAACTCTTAGAGAATTTTGAAGTGTTTCCTCATTTACTTTATCAAGACTTGCTTTTTTTCATCACTCTTTTGAACATTCCCACAAACTGTTCCGCTTGTCCATTCAACCTTGAGTGATAGGGCAGGGTTGTAATATACTCAATGGAGAACATCTTGCAAAAGTCTTTGAATTCTTTACCCATGAATTGCATTCCATTATCAGAGACTATGGTATCTGGTATGCCATATCTCACAAACAGTTCATGCAAGAATTTCACTGTCACTGAAGATGTTGAATTTTTGCACTTAGAAATTTCAGGCCATTTAGTGAAACTATCAATTATCACAAGATAATGTGATCCATTCATAGGATATGCAAAATCTATATACAGTCTTGACCACAATATGTCTGTCTTTGGCCAAGGATCTATCTTTGGAATAGGTATTTTTGCTGCCAGAGCACAACCTCTGCAAGCTTTCACTATTTTTTCAATATCATGGTTTATTCAAAACTTCTCAGCAGAGATTTCATTCTTGAAATACCAGGATGTCTGCTATGAAAATCCTTCAATATTCACTTCTGTAACACACTAGGTATTACAAACAGTTGCCTGAACATTACTACACCATTGCATAGCAAGTAAGCATTTAAGTCTGGATTTCATTCTTTGTTACTTTCTTTTAATTAATTTTTATTTTTGCAATAAAAATATCATTTTTTGCTTTTTCTTTTATTTCTTCCAATGTAACTGGTAACTCTTATACTATGTTTGCTTTTTAGTGCTGCACTGACCATGTCATCAAAGAGTTCTACATTTTTAGGTATTAATCTTGATAATCTATCCGCATGATCTAATTTTTTAGATGGTTGGTACTCCATTGTAAAATCATAGTTTAATAAGTGTTGTAGTCTATTAGCTGGATGTGTAAGTATTCCTTTCTTTGAACCATATATTGTTAATAGAGGTCTGTGGTCTGTTTGCAACTTAAAATTTCTTCCATGAATAAATTTATGAAATTTCTTAACAGAAAATATAATTGCTAGAGTCTCTGGCTCTAATTTTTCTCTACAGGTAGAAGTGAGCATGAAACATGAGCAAAGGCTTTCATTTCACCACCATCATATTTTTGTAAAATCCCCCCTCAAATACTGTACTCATTGGCATCTGACATCACTACAATTTCTGCTTTTGGATCATAGTGTGATAATGACAAAACTGATCTAAGTTTTTTTTTCATTTCATCAAATGCCTTTTGGCAGTTATCATTTCACTTTACTCCCTTTTTTAAGTAGATCATTCAGTGGGGTTCTCAAATTATGTACATATTATGTACATATATTTGATAGTAATTAGCCAGTCCTAGAAAAGCTTATAACATAGTAATGTTTGTTGGTGGAGGCATATTTTTAATTGTACCTGTCCTTGACAAATCTGGTTGATGACCATTTTTATCAATAATTTCACCAAGGTATTTCCTTTTTGGCAAAAACAACTCACATTTTTCTTCACTGAGCTTGAATCTGTACTCTCTTAGTTTTTTTCTAAAATTGTTTTCCTATGTCCAACATGTTTTTGATTAAAGTGTTGTCGAGATACATCAATATGAAATCACAATCCACAAGTACATTATCCATAGATTGTTGAAAAATAGCTGGTGTCACCTTTATACCAAAAGTTAGTTAA